GTTCTCTAAGGGGTTCCAAATTGAAAGTTTCAGCACGATTTTACTTTTAGATTATTTATACATCATTCGATTGAGCTTCTGATTTAGAATATCCAGGTTTTGTGACTTGATTTCAGGGTGAAAATTTTCTAAAATACTGTAGATATTTCAATTTCGAAAAACCGGTAGTTTGCAGAAGATATTAGAAGATTTCTTATTATAAAATTTTCAGCAGCTAGCATTTCTAGATTCAGCTTTTGATGCTGATTTGAGAAAAAAGACTTTTTACTCCTGAAAATGTAATAGTAAGTTGGTTTTTAATATTTTTTGAAAAGTGAAGTAGTAAAAGGTGAAGAACCTATGAAAACCCGTAGGAAATCTGTGGGCACCAAGATAAAGTCATTTTCACGCATCACCAACGATAAAAACTAGACAAAATATCGAAAATAATAGCAATAATTGTAAAAAGAAGTCAAAACTTGTCTGAACTTTCTCGAAAACTGTTTAATACCTGCTCAAAATCTTTTTTTGATATTCAAAATCCATTGAGTTTTGTACAGCTGTATCAATAACCATATCTTAAAATTCCAACACATGGTTTTAAAAGGCTGAAATAAATTTTAATATGTGGGTTTTTGAAAAGCCTTTAGAAAACTGGTTTTATCCAAGGTCTGGAGGTCACCAACTGCCCAGGTATGTTCAGTTTTTTGACCTCTGTCGAACCATATCCTACAAAATATTCTAGCTAGCTTGTGGACGCAGAGAGTTCAACTTTCTTTTTAAAATGGTGCATTCTAAATTAAACAGCTAATTTGAAAGATTTTTACAGATAAATGTTTCTGTTAAAAAGACTATTTTCTATAAAATGGATGGGTTAAACGTCGTGGTTTTCTGAAAATCCTACTTCCGACACTCCTGAAGTTATTTTGAGTTAACCATTGGAAAGCGCATTGCTCAAAATCTTTAAATACTGAGAGTTATCAAAATCCGTTCGGCCGTTCTTGAGATGGTATTTTCATGTTACACACGCCTATTATAGTTCTTTTTTGTCCACAGGATTTTTGTCGATCTCAAAAGTGCTTGACCAAAGATGAAAACCTGCTTTTCTAATAGCCCACGTCGAGTATATGCGAGATATATGTCATCTCACGTCCTGTAGCTCCGTGAAATGGTGCAGCACGTACTCAAACTTGGAGGAACGAGAAAAATCGCCTTTAAAAGTTTATTTTTTTCTATCATTGAATGGTTTTTAATCTCAGTGAGAACCACAAAATTGCGGTCTTGTGTTGATATGATTTTAAGGGGAAAATATGGTTTAGAAAAAGGTCTACTTTTCGGAAAAAAAACGATTTTTTCAAAAATTTTCCTGAGAGCTTAGTACTTAACATTTTGGAACTTTGTGTCCGTTAGTGCTTTTTTTAGCTCTACACGTATAGAATCCAATCTGATGGTATCAGCTCATAAAAGTGTTTCACTAAAAAATGGTGAAAATGCCCAGAAAAGGTCTATTCTGCTGGAAAATGGAATTTTCACAGGTCTCATCATTTCTTCATCATTTTCTTTTTTTTCAATTCATCATTTTCTTCTATAGAATAAACGTGCACCAGCGATTAGTTTACTGAAGCATAAAACACTTATAATAAGTATTTCGTTGAAAACAGATTGATGATAAAATATGCTGAGGCATAAAACCATGTCATTTGAAATATTTTTAGATATAAAAAGAATTCGATTCTAATCATCTGCCGATAGTTTACGAATGATCTGACAAGATAAAGTTTCAAAGTAAAGCATTTCACCTACTATTAAGTTTTGTTTATCTTTTGACTACTTACCAGAGCTCCGTATGGATTCAAAATTCTAAGTCCAGTCCAGCCCATATGGAGCTCTGCTACTTACTAATGTTGTAAAGGAAAAACTACTATGCAGAGAAGAAAATTATCATCGTTAGTATAATAAATCACGTATTACACTTTCGAGATGATAGCTCTCTTTTCCTTTTCTGCATATCTTTCGTTTCTTTCAACATCATTATTTTTAGGCATTTAATAGTTCAAAAATGCCGTTAGAGCTTCTACAAGAATTGTTATAAGTCGCCTATAAAAAGAATTCTACAGCTCTGAGTAATAATTCTATAGGAGACTTATACTCATTTTTTGCAGAAGCTCTAACACTAGTTTTTTAACTGATGCATGCCTAATCACTTTTATAAAGTTCTTTAAATTTTTTATTGCAAAAATTTACTATAAAATATCTTGTCGCAGTCTGTTAATGACTTATTGTACGGTATATATATGTCATACGCTAGAAACAGAAATGATATTTATAGTTAACTTCTTTGAATATGACCACTATAAAATAATCTTCCACGCTGTTATTAGACTCATGGAGAGATTATGAGATGTTTTAATCTGCAAACAGTCTGAATTAACTGTTCATTTATTTGCTTGATTTTTCTCTTCTTTTATGACACTTCATTACTGGGTTCTTCATATACACATTATCTATTTTCATCATTTTTCATTTTTCTTCTATTTTGTCTCTCAGTTCTATTTCTTTCTTTTGATAAACGATGTATGAATGCAGGTAAAACACCATTATCCTACTTTTGATCTATTTCTTCTCTCTCCAATTCTTTTCTTTCTTTCATTTATTATTTCGTTATTTTCCTTTTTTCTCTTCTATTTGATGTTGTTTAATTAAATAGTAACAGAATACTACTGGTGCAATGACTTAAGAGGATTTCAGTGATACTCTAGTGATTTTATTTCATTTTCTTAATGCATATCACCGTGAAGAAAAAAAAAAAGAAAGTTCATTTAGAGTTGTGAAAAAATGCTTTTTTGTATTTAGCATATTCAATAATCCAGTAGATTTTCTATTTTTGATGTCGAAAATTTAGGAAAATTTTTCGAACAAAATAGTGTAAAAAAATTTCCATGGGAAAATAATATTAGTTTTAAAATTTTTCTTAAACTTTTGACTATACATCTTGTCAAAAATGGAAAATCAACTGGATTACCGAGTATGCTGAATATGAAAAAGCACTTTTCTACGACTCTCAATGAACTTTATTTTTTCTGTCAGTGATATGAATAAGGTTTAAAATCAGAAGAGACAGACTATTTCAGATGAAGTAACTTGATTTTTTCGTAAATCCTTTGAAGCTTTACAATCTTAAGAAAATATGAAACATTATATTATCAACATTCTCAAAAAAAAAACAAACGTTATTTATAATTGTCAAATGTTGCAACATTTAAGAGAAGAATAGTGAAAGACATCAAATGATCCTTGAACTAATCTATTCGATTATTTAGTGTTAATTAATGTTAAATGTTCAACTTCAAACATTATCCTTTTAATATAAAAAAACAAAAAATAATGTCATGGTTAAGATGTAAAATTCGTTCATATAATTGTATTATTTTCATATTTATTTTGATTATTACTATTATTTTATTAATTTATTTATATTATTTTAATTTGTTAAGAGCAAATAATTTAATTAAAATAAATTCTAAATATAAAATTAATAATTGTAATTCAACTAAATATTCAAGATTAATACAACAGGTACAACATTAATGCGTTCCATATTAGATACACATTCATTAATTTATTGTGGTCAAGAAACACGTGTTATACCTAAAATTTTAGGAATAAGAAATTTATGGAAAAAATCTATATTAGAATGGGATAGATTAATTTCAGATGGTATAACAGAAATTATACTTGATTCAGCTATACAAGCATTTATTTATGAAATACTTGTTAGACATAGTCAATATGCTAATATATTATGTGATAAAGATCCATTTGTTTTAAAATATGCTAAATATATTTCAACATTATTTACAAATTCAAAATTTTTATTTTTAATTCGAGATGGACGAGCAGTTATACATAGTATTATGACAAGAAATGTAACTATAACAGGTTTTAGTTTAACAGATTATAGAAAAAATTTAAAATTATGGAATAAAGGTATTGATATTATGGTTAAAGACTGTAGAATGATTGGCACATCAAGATGTCTATCAGTTTACTATGAACAATTAGTTTTACATCCAAAATTGACAATAGAAAATATACTTAAATTTTTAGATATACCATGGATAGATAATGTATTACATCATGATAAATTGATCGATAAACGTATATTATTATCAATAACAGAACATTCTAGTGATCAAGTCATTAAACCGATTAATTTAGAACCATTAACACAATGGATTGGACATATACCAGATGATATTAAACGTGAAATTGATACATTAGCACCAATGTTGAGACAATTAGGATATGATACACAATCTGATATGCCATTTTACGGAATAGCTGATCATTTTGTGATTAATAATACTATTGATATAAAAAGAAATGCATCATTTTGGAATGAAAAAATGAGTCGTTATGCTAGACGTTTATCAAATATAACGTTTGAAGAAACTAAATTGTATGAAATAAACAAAGATAAAGAATAATAACATTAATCTACCACAAATTCATTTTCAGTTTGATTAGGTTTTCTGCGATAACAATTTGTAAAGATATTATGGAATGAGAGAAAAGAAATGAACATAAAATGTGAGGAACTGATCTATTTTTCGTTGTATGAACACAATTCAAAAGTCAGGTAGGCTTTTGAGAATCAGAAATGAATAATCGGTAGACACTGGCAGTCCCATATCCTGATCGAGATATCCTCTAGCTCCGTTGAATTCTCTCTTTCTCTCACTCATAATACTTCATTTTTAGTAAAATTTGTATATCAGTATAATTATAATCGTCCTCTATACAAAAAAATTCCGGCTGTATGAGAAACATCAGAAATCTGTTGAGAAAGTCTATTAAGGGGGGTATCCTCAAAACATACCCTCAATCCTTGCCAGTCTGTAGAGGACACCTTCAAGGGTATATGTGTGCAATAACTCACGGATTGGATAAGTTTTGGCGGAAAGATAACATTTTTAAAAATTGAAAAAATCGATTTTCCCTGGTATTTTGTAACTGGTGCAAAAAGTATTTCTTGCGCAGTCCGCCGCGTCAACAAAGCATTTTGGAAAGTTTATGTCAATGCAAAAGTCATTCATTGCATTCATCTCTACCGGATGGCATATTTTGCTTTCCCAAAAACTTACTAATTAGTAGTTATTTTAGCCCATTTTTAGAAACATTGGATTCCTAAGCGGTTTATTACTGTGCCCACGCAAACCATTTTTTCTAATTAACTTTTGATTAACAATAGTTAGTGAGTTGCGATCTTAGTCGTTCGATAGCCAAGACATCGCCCGCATCTATGTATAACACACAACTTTTCAAACAAAATTCATCACCATCTGATATCACGCTCGAACCGCTGGAAACCAAAGTCTCACTTGGTACCCGTTCTTTAGAAAACACTTTGGACTATCGGCCCATGCTAAAAGATTAATTTATTTATGCTGTGAACTTTAGAATTATAGCTCGGTTTTCCAGGAGATCTCCTGGATAATCGGTTTATAAATTTCTTTTGAAAGCTTGTGTGTTATACAAAGATAGCGCGATGTCTTGGCTATCGAATGACGAAGACCCAAGAGGGAAACAATTGATTTTTGAGCTTAAAAAATCGGTTTAAATCGAAAATCCCTAAAAATCTGTAAAAATGTTTCAAAATCACTAAAATCCTACAAAATCTCTAAAATTCGTTAAAAACCGCTAAGAATCGCTAATGATTTTATCGTTTTTTTTCTTTACCTTCACTATGTCTGATTCTCATTTTGTACAAATAAAGCAGTTTCCGCACTATTATATATTTCCAATGACACACTATTCCCATTTCTCAAACATATCACAGGAAATCGGAAAACATCGCGGAAAAGCAGTGAAAATCGGAAAAATCTCAAAATCAGCTGTTTTCCCCTTGCGAAGGCTGCAACTCACTAACTATTGTTAATCAAAAGTTAATTAGAAAAAATGGTTTGCGTGGGCACAGTAATAAACCGCTTAGGAATCCAATGTTTCTAAAAATGGGCTAAAATAACTACTATATAGTTAAAACTAATCGAATAGTTATAAAAATAGCTTGACATGCGTAACTTGATATGCTCTATAAAATGGCTGATGTAAAAGTCCCAAATTCGATTGGAAAATTTCATGGTCTGGTTTTCCAGGAGATTTTAAAAGGTCCCAAAAAAATCCCACCGTGGTTCATGATAGTACACTTGGTGTACTCCAACAATATCGTATTGGGCGAGAAATTCATCCGGCTTCTCGGGAGAAAACCGTTTGCCAAAATGACCGGATCGATGATTTGGGCTCTCACAGGATCATCTACTGTAAAAGAACGGAAGCATGTCTAGAGCTCGCGGTTGTGTGAATTTGTATTAGACACTATCTAGTAGTTGAGTCTAAGGAATATGTCGTTACGGAGTTGTACGTAGTTTACATTGACAGTTTCCTTTGATGCCGAAATTTGTGCATTTTCGGGCTCTTTGCAAAAATTGAATATCTCAGCAACGCAACAACTTTAGAATCTGCGGTTTTCACCAAAATTCATGAAAATGTTTGCTTTAAAGAAGTCCACTATGTTGGAAGAAATCTGACATGGTCGATTGAGCACGTTAGGTCGTGACTTATCTTTAATGGCTCATATATATGTTACAGATGTTACAAAATTATTTACTTGATAATAATATTGATATAGAACAAATACTTTTTGGTACGCACGGTTGAACAGGAGCACATATTGAAAAGCTTGTTCGGTTGGCTGTGAATAACGCACTTCGAAGAGATGTTATTGAACGTGGTACATTAGTTATCGGTGAGGATTCAACAGAACAACTCCGAATTCGTAATTTAGATTTTTCAATTGCATTAGAAAAGATTCAATCAAAGCCATCAGATTTTTATGAAGGTGAAACAAATGATATGTGGTTATTAAATATATACATTATTTAGAGTATTTGCGTCACTCTTTTAGGGTGTTAGTAGATGTTAGTGGGTGTTCGTAACGAAAAAGTCCTAAAGAATCCTGTTTGAAATAAATTTTTTCGGTGTTGTTTGATGTTACTTTATTCAACAAAGGACAGGTCTATCGACTGGCTATAATTTGGGGATGTTGGTGAATGTTAGTGGGTGTTAGCGTATTTTAGTAATACCCGGTTTTGGTGATGGAGGAAAGGCTGATAAAATAGTTCGACGTGCAGTATTGTACTGTCTGAGTGTACGCGGTCGATATTCATTATCATCGACTTCCTGCGAAGGTTTTCCATTGCTAACTGTATATAGCACAAGAAACGGTTGTTCTGTTTGTGGTACCAACGAAACAGGTTCGAAGTCTTCTTCAGATGATGATGGTTGCAAGAGAAATTCAAGTTGTCGGCGTGATAAATTCGGCCGCTTTCGGGATGAAGAATTGCTCGTCGTGATCAGTTATCGATGGAGAAAATAACTGCAAACTTGGAGTAGAACGATGATCCTTGTTCGTCGATAGAAAAATATCACAAGTCTAGAATAAACCAAAGAGGAGACCAGTCTTGTACGCTCATGTACGATTACAAGTATGCATATTTTGAACAATGACAAAATGTGAAAAGAGACACTCTGCTGCTAAGAGAAAAAAGAGTATAGACTTTACGAACAAAAGGGAATCAAATCATGCAAAATCTCTAGTATGAGGTAAAACAAATACGGAACGAAATTGCAATCTCTGACTTCGACGTATAAGAGAGAATGATCGACCAATTATCTAAAACAGGTGACCGGACAATTCGGCGCAACACTAAAATCCAATTATAAATTCATGCGCACTGCTCTGGCACCTTAACGGTTGAGCTTATTCAGTGAGAAAGGTGCTGCTAAACGACTAGGTCTATTGCTGACGACGTAAACGGTATGATGTACCATTGACAAATGTGCCGATCATTTGGTGCATTTCTGGACGATATTGATTAGCAAGAATACCAGCGATAAGAATATCATCATACGCTCTTAATTTAAGTAGAAATAGCATGTAACTAGTTGTTAACAACTGATACATTGTTACAGACATTTTATTTGCATTCTCGATTATCAAATCAAGAAGATCATTATTAATAACGCTGCATAGATGACCACATTTTCCACTAAATAGGTGATTCGATTTTGGTGGACAATTATATGGTAAATGTTGTAGTCTGTAATATCCATTTAATATTGCTTTTCTCGATTCTCTTAATTGTTTCATATCAGGACTATTTTCTAACATTTGTCTTTCATGTTGAGAATAATCAATGTATTGCGAGCCTTATCAGGTACCCGCGATACATAATCAATACGATTTTTATATGCCATTTGCAATTCTTGGGAAAAGGTATCGCTGAGCAGCTGTCAAATCAAGGGAGAAACAGCAGAATTCCCAGCAGTTGTGGACTCCCAGACCTACGGAAGCCTGGAGAAGCCTATACAAATCTCCCAAAGTTCGAGAAACTGGAGAAATCCCTGAGAGTACAAGAAAAAATGCGAAAAACGGATTAGAATCCGATGAAATCCCGAAAATCTGTAAAAGTGACTGAAAATGAGGCTAAGCGGAAAAAACGCGAAAAAATTCAAAAGCAGTCCGGAAAATTTTTCGGGCTCAACGAGTCACGAAGACTACAAAGGAGTCTCAACAAAGCGAACTTGAGTTTGTACAGCAGACAAGTCTGCACCAGACAAAATCAGTTTGAGAATTTTAAAAGTTTCAACCGGCATTGGAAACTATGATAGATTATAGACAGGCAACCAAGCATTTGATAAAAACTGACCAACAAAACTCAGTTTTATTCATCAAAAAAATTTTCTGACCTTCACGAACTAATTTGTAGAAACTTAAACGACACATTTTCTCGGCATACTTTTTCCGCTGATTCCGAATATGGTACTTGTTTTCGTTTTTGCTGATTTTTTGATGGATAAAAATGGGTTTTGCTGGTCGATTTTTATCAAATGTTTGGTTATCTGTCTACTTTGGCGTCTCATAAAAAAAAGCTTGTAGGGGCTTTTACACTAACTCAACCTATATGAGACAGTAATTTTACAAGACTTTTTATAAGCTTGCCGCCAGACTTATAGACTCTTCAACCGAAAAACAATCGGAATCGCTATACGGGTACGATATGCACAAAAAGCAAAGAAAGTTTTGTGTGCTATTGTCAAAGCAACTAATATTACAGATATTGTGAACATATAGCTGCAAGATTATTTTATTGCATAGAAATCTAGCATCAGATAAATAGTCTGTGTGACTTCCGTATTTTCTCTTCTTTGCAAGCATTGACCAGTCTTTCAAAGCATATTTATTATCTTTTCGCTTCATTCCTGTTTCTTCTTCCTAAGCACAAAAGTGTGCTCGACAAGACGACTCTATTAGAATTTGTAACTCCATAACTTCTACTTTGGATTGATCGAGATTGATTGTTAGCTGACTTTCATGTATTACTTTTCTTTATACAACTAATATGTAAAAGAAATGAGTTGCGATAGACATCTGTAACATTTAGAACATAACTAAACATATAACTATTAGAAACAAACAAAAACAAAGTACCGCATGAGAACCACACGGACGTTGGTTCCAACATAGAACAGAATAGACCGTGAAAAAACCTTCTATATGCAATAAACATTCCATACAATATGGTTTATTTACATGACTTTACTCTTTTAAAAGCCCAGACATATCTTTGATGTCTAAGATTTGCTAATTTTTACATTCAGCATCATATGAGATATATACGACCATTGAACAATCGCGAAAACAATTGTACATCTCTAAATTTAATGGATCAAGTATGTTTTTCTTCATAACACTATAAAAAGAGCAATACTCCTACTAGACATCTGTAGTCATATCACATGTATCCGCCTCGATTCCCAATTTTGTTGTTGAAAGCGAAAAATCTCTTTTAGGATACAAAGTTCCATCTTTAGTAAAGAAAATGAGAGTGATTGATAAAACTATGAGAAAAAACAATTGAAAAAAATGTAAAGAGCTTGTTAGAGATATAATATTATTATCACTGAATAATTGAGAACTTATTATTTAACGATGAAGATAATTCATATACAGGTGACTGCATAGTCGAAACTCATGTCCAGACGGGAATCCAAGGTGCACGACGACGTGTTTTTCCCTCATAACATGATCTCTTTCGCCGTATGTCCCCGTTATCATCTTGTGTTCCATCGATGTAATCCCAACGTCGACGAGTATCGATGGGTAAACGTTCCTAAGAGCAAGAAAATATTCACTAAGGCCACATCGTACTTATGTTTACAACTTACTATTGTTTTTGTTGGACGCATATAACCATGATTAGTTCTTAGTGTTGGGTTTTGCGTAACTCTAGGAGGTTGGGATTCTTCTGGCCATCGTTTGATAACATAATTCTGCTCTCGAGCTTGCCAAGGTTTCTGCGTTCGATATTCATACGGTGTTCGACTTCTTTCCATTGGTTTCGGTTCATAAAAAGTTTGGGGCTCTTGATGTTTTCGAATTAAAATGTTTTCGACTGCTGGTTTTCTTCCTCTCTGCTTCTTCTCCAGTGGAATGCTTATGTTCTCCGGTACACGCACTGAGTCTAGAAACATAGAGAAATGACGTCACTTTATAGGCTTTTTGGTGGAATTTTCTTACCGTTCATGGTATGACGGTCTCCTGTGGAATCTGAAATAATCTCGTCCGGTTCATGGATAGGTTGAAAATGATGAACAGGATGGTGGTCTTTACAGGACGACTTACTATCCAAACTACAATTTCGTCGTAGTGGTGGACTTACCACTTTTGGAATCGATCTTGCTCGTTCTTTCGGTTGTCTTAGAGCGGGACGATCCGGCTGACCGACAATACTGTAAAGTGTGGGACTCTTTTCTATTATTGGAATGTTAGATTCGTTCAACGGCTGTTGATTCTTTCGCGTCGATGGTACAGTGTTTGGACTCCTTAACAACGAAGGCTTCTGTTCGGTGCCCTTGATTGTATACATACGAATATCTTCTTGTGTAGGATAAGTAATGTATGTCTCCAATAGTTTTGGTTGACCTACTATATTATACATGTATGGATCCACATTTTCTTTTTGAAGATAGTGTTTTTCTACGTATTGTTCTCCTGTAATCGAATAAAACTTAGGGGTTCGACTAGGCTCCATAGTAATTTTACTACGTGCTCCCGAGCCATTCGGTTCTGGACTATCACTCAGATTGTACAGCACAGGCGACGGATATCGTTTGTCATTAATAACAGGAACATCTTCATAAGCAATATTTTGGGATGTTGGATGTCCAGTGATGGTGTATAAAGTTGGCTCAATACTTCGAGCTGTTGTTGGCAGATCTTTTGTGCTCGGGCGTCCTACAATGGAGTAAAAAACTGGCTGGGTATCTTGTACCTCCTCCGTTCCACGATTCCCAGCAGTAGTTGTTTCGTCATAGATGTTTTGCGATGACGGATGACCAACTATACGGTATACAATGGGTTCTTTTTCCAAATCAGTTGTTGTCGTTGGAATTGGAGTATACATGTCAACTGGTCTCGAATTCCCTGGTATGCTAAAGAGTACTGGTTGAGTTACAGGCCGTCTCTCATATAGCTCTTCTTCATAAGGCAAATGGCGAGCATCGAGTGTATACATGGTCACTGGTTGTGTCGGCTTGCTTAAATGCGATGGTGGTACAAAATGATCTACTGCTGGCCTGTAACGTTCAGGACTTGATGTAATAGCGTACATAGTGGTCGGATTTTTCATTGTTTTGACACCTAAAAAGTGTACAAGTCAACGAATGACAGCCTGAACTTTCTCTCTCTTACCAAAAGATATATGTCTTCAGTTATATGATAAATAGTTAGTATGAAATTTTTCGCCAATGATTCTGCTCCTTGATCAAATTATAACTCATTTATACCATTAGCAGTCATACTAAATGATGCCAATCTCATTCATTTTAATGATCGATGTCTATGAAATCCTGTAACAAAGTAAAAACATGCTCACTAATTATATAACATCACGAGGTCTTCGTAGTAGGAGACAAAGCACACAAATTTCGGAATTAATCCTAATTTTTTCAAAAGCTGGATTAAAGTACGAACTGTTTAAGTTTGAGAGTAGATAGATCGTACTTTACTCTAGAAGTTAAAGTAGATAATAAATCATCCAATTACAGTATCCCGCCCTCATTTTACTCTCATTCTTTTAAAAAACTATAAAACGATGAATGTAGTCAAAAGTAATCTCTTCGTTTTGAAATAAAAATGCAGTAAGAGGTAATCCCCTCAATCGAAGTACCGCTGAAAGCCTGAATACAGATTTGCTTCGACTGTCCTTGTGCAAATTACAACAGCCTCAAATTTTAAAACTAATGAATGATCAAAGAACCTCATTTAAGACAATTGAGTATGAGGACAAAATCTCTTTTTACTACAACGCAGTACTAGTAAACTATCAAAACGGATTTACTACAAATGATTGAATGCCCCCTTTACCTAATAGTTTCCGTCGTACCTTTATTTGAACGAAATACAATTGCTACTTAAAACGAATTTCTACTTAAAACGAGAACGTGTACATTAACTATGAGCACACACAAATTTATTGTCGCTGTATCTCCTGTTTTAAGTGAACAAAAAATACGTGATTATCGTTGTTTTAACAAACTTGAAGAGAACACGTAGAAAGACAAGAAAAAGCTTTATTTCTTACTTTCTTTATTATTTACTAACAGAAAAAATGATTTTTTTCCCTCTTTTTTTGTATTTGTGTGTTAAGAATATTTTCAAATCCACAGCAATTAATAAAACATTACAAAAATTGGATACCAACAGTATAAAATAGTTTAAATTTCTTGTTTCAAGAATTTTCTTCAAGTATCGTGTAATTTGTTAGAATCTTCAATTAAAAACATTTTTTTCGTACAACATGCACAAAATATAATTCTTTTCGACAGAAAACCTAATAAGCAGATTATCAGTGTATCGTTAGTTATAGTGATTAGAAACACTAAAAAACGCAATTATTTTATGCACTTAAAAATAACGTTGAAAAGTTTAACTGAAATACTATTAAAATTTTATAAGACGGTTTATAAAGAAAATTATATTTTCATCATGTTTTTCTAATAAATGATTATCAAAGTGAAGACTGTGACGTTGTTTAGGATTTGAAAGTATTATATTACAAATCTAATATTGTGTAGTGGTAAATGAGATGTTTTAATATTTAATAAATCTATTGTTAAATTGAAAAAGGATCTTTGACGTTCGTAGGAGATTATATATATACGTATATAGATATAAATCAAATATTGTAATTTTGCCATTAGAAGTCAAGTAATCAAAAACTCATTTATGAATAAATCGTACCAAAATTGAATGAAAAACATTGCCAACATATCGTGATAAGTTATTTTTTGCCCTTGTCGTATTCACATAGTAGTGTTGTTTTTTTTCTATATAAAACGGAAATATAATTTAACGAAATAGAAGGGTGTTGGAGGTCTATGTATGAACTACTAATCAGTATAAGAAGAATGGTTGAAAATGTTTTCTTAAAATGAGATGAACACTTTTATTTGTTTAAGGCAGTGCTACCCTCAAATTTAGTCGAAAATGCAATATAATCTTACTTAAGGTATGAATCGTTTTATTCAAGAGTTTTAAACTTTTTCAAAACAGGCGTCGCTCTATAAAAAGACGAAAACGTTTGGGTAGCATATAAAAATGATTATTCTATGCAATCATTTGAACTGTTAGAGCATAACATGTATCATTAGCAATCTGCCTATGGCTCTAAAGAATTTTTGACAAAAACGACTTGTATACAAAACGAGGTGATAATAGTAAAGAAATGAAGATGACGAACGATCAAAAGAAACGGATCAATACGAATGTCCTGTTTTACTGTGGTCTAACAGTCATATATATATCATATCAAAATTTGATGATTTTTTTCTAGAGAAGCGGTATTTGAGATTTTTACATATTCGGAATCAGCGCGATGAGTTACGTTGTACGGCGCAAAGATCTCGTTGGGGTACACGCAAAAATGGGGTCTTAGGAGTCCCACTTAGAATACCACTGTATTCAACGGTATAGTTCATCGTTCAACTTCAAACATGCCGCATTTTATTCGTTCTGCTTGTAATGTCATTTTTTTT